TTGATATAAGTCAACTTTAACCTTTTATTAACTTATATATTTTAACGTTTTCTGAGATTAACTAGAATTTAAAAAACGCTAGGGGCCTCAGGGCTTTATATTTCTTAGGTCCTTGTGAAGTCTACATCCGACCTGTCGTGACTGGAATGGATTCCCTATAACTAATGGAGGGTTAAGCTCAAAACTATAAATGTGTGTGTGTGCGTGCGCGTGTGCGTTAGTGCGTGCATGGACGCGCATGTGTGTATATTTGAGTTCATATATGGATTATGATTTTTACCCATCTCTGAGCTGCAGAAATTGTTTCCCCCTATCTCCAGTGATGAGATTAACAGAACGTTACGTGCCAAAAAAAACGATGCACTCGCTTCCGTGCTATTTATACAAGAATTTCTGCACGGAATTTTGGCGCCCCGTCTCTTTCATTCTAAACATCGTGGTACGATGGCCGCGGCACCCCAACCTAAGTGGTCCTTACGACACATAGCCGCTGAAACGATGGCAAGAAGGGATATCATCAAGAAAGCTGTTCCAGGCAACCAGGGATCGTGATCTGTGGAGACGCATGAGCACCTACGCCAGTTGGCAGGGCATATGATGATTTAGATTACAGCTCAGTTTGAGAGCCACTGGTATAAGGAGCCTAAGGCCTGACCTTATTGACACTACGTGCACGCGCAATATTTTAATTTGAATTACTGAGACCAGTAATTGTACTGACTGAGAGAAGTTAGGCACCTCTAGCGTAAATGGTTTTTGTACTGCTAAGCTCTGTGTTTATAAATCCTCAAAGTGACCCTAATCTAAGAGAAGCAATTCAAATATTGACTCCGAAGATAGGGGAGAGAAACGTGGCCGAAAATACGATAGTTAACTCAATGTTCATGATCATTGGTTCAACAGTTGCATACTAACAGGTCACTCAACTTGGACTTGCCCTTTCTGGGATCACCCACACACAGGGGAATAGTCAAACGGAAGTGCTGGTGTCTTTTGTAGTTTTCGTAATTAAATTTACCCAGCGTGCAGCGCACACCCCTGTGAAAATGTTATAATAGGTCAAAGTTCAAAAGGAAACCGATTGAGATACCAGGCAATCAATATAAACTTATTGAATTATCCCTTCTCTGATATAATCGCGATTGTTCTGTTGTTGGTTTTCTTCCTTTTTTGGGAGAGATACAGGAAACATGCAAGAAAAAACAGCATTATTGCTCGTCGTAAATTGTAAACAACCACTTCTTCTTCTTCTTCTTCTTTTTCTTCTTCTTCTTCCTCTACTTCTTCTTCTTCTTCTTCTTCTTCTTCTTCTTCTTCTTCTTCTTCTTCTTCTTCTTCTTCTTCTTCTTCTTCTTCTTCTTCTTCTTCTTCTTCTTCTTCTTCTTTTTCCTCCTCTTCTTCTTCTTCTTCTTCTTCTTCTTCTTCTTCTTCTTCTTCTTCTTCTTCTTCTTCTTCTTCTTCTGCTGCTGCTGCTGCCGCCGCTGCTGCTGCTGCTGCCGCCGATGCTGCTGCTGCGGCCTTAGCTTTTGAAACGGCGGTTGGCAGACTGTTTTATTATTTACAGCTAGTCTACAACATCATCCCCTTTTGACAAAACACATCCTATTTCTGAAACCTGAAATCCTATTTCTAATTTCCCAATTAGTCACCTTTTACTACATGCTTGTTAGCGCGCGCTGTGTGTGTTCTTTTCCATCCAAACAGAATACCTATAGGAAGTTTTTTTTTTTTTTTTACACGGTAACTTGGAAGCAGGTAGTAGAGTCTATACAGATAGGTCCGCAGAAAGTGCAGTTAGAAATGGTGGTGCTGGAGTGTACATCGAATTCCCAAATGGTACTAGGGATAAGTCCAGCGTACCAACCGGGAAGTACCGCCATAATTATGAAGCAGAAACGCAAGCTATCAAGATAGCAACAGAGAAACTGCTAAATATCAATCTTGGCTCACAGTATGTGGTAATGCTGACAGATGCTAAATCAGTACTTGAAGCACTCCAGTCTAGGAAACTACCAGAATTGCAAACACTGCTGACACAACTCAGCCTTCAGCGAAAAGTCGTAATGCAGTGGATACCGTCTAATTGTGGAGTGCCTGGAAATGAGAAAGCTGATCAACTGGCAGGGAGAGGTGCGACAAAAGAGCAGCCGGATGTACCAGTCACATACCACCAAAAGAAAAGAATCATTAAATCGATCAGGAAACCACCAGCCCCAGCACAAGACGACTATTTTATTATGGACAAACCAGAACAAGTCATTATCCTCCGCCTCAGAACAGGGCACAACCGATTACGTAACCACATGTACACAAAATTCAAGATAGGTGTATCAGCCATGTGCACCTGTGGAAATGTGCCCCAGACATCAGAGCATTACTCCAGGGCTGCACCGAATTTGACACATGTGGGCAAACCTTTTGGCCAGAAAGAACAACAGTGGATCGTAAACTCTATAGACCACTGAATGAACTACCAACGACAGTGAAATTTATACAAGAGACAAAACTGCTGATATAGACAACTTTTTTCAGGCGAACGAAAGACGAAGAAGAAGAAGCAGGTAGTAAAATGTTTTAGAGGGTTTAAATGTCAAATGAATATTATGAGCGATTGGATTTTTTAAAATTTTACAGGAACAAAGACTTATATTGTTTGCCCTGCATTATCATGTATCTTAATTAATTCATTCACAATTTCTTTTTAAAAAATATGTTTAACATTCAACTAGTAGTCCTTCACTATTCAGTAAGTTATTAATTTAAGTTAGATTATATTCCCGACTGTATGAATTAATTACGTAATTAATAATATGTTTGTCCGTTATTTTTCTTGTTCTGGCGATTATTTTCAGATCGCAGGGATAAATGAAACACATGTTAGAACTAAATATGTGATGACACAGTTACCCAACACATGCTAGAACCAAGTATGTGACGACACAGTTACCCAAACACATGTCAGGACCAAATATGTGACGAGACAGTTACCCAAACACATATTCGAACCAAATATGTGATGATACAGTTACTCAAACACATGTCAGAACCAAATATGTGATGATACAGTTACCCACACACATGTTAGAACCAAATATGTGACGACACAGTTGCCCAAACACATGTTAGAACCATGTATGTGATCATACAGTTACCCAAACACATGTCAGGACCAAATATGTGATAACACAGTTACCCAAACACATGTCAGGACTAAATATGTGATGACCCAGTTACCCAAACACATGTCAGGACCAAATATGTGACGACACAGTTACCCAAACACATGTTAGAACCAAATATGTGATGATACAGCTACCTAACACATGTTAGAACTAAGTATGTGATGACACAGTTACCCAAACACATGTTAGAAACAAGTATGTGATGACACAGTTACCCAAACACATGTTAGAAACAAGTATGTGATGACACAGTTACCCAAACACATGTTAGAAACAAGTATGTGACAACACAGTTACCCAAACACATGTTAGAAACAAGTATGTGATGACACAGTTACTCAAACACATGTTACGACCAAATATGAGATTACACTTACCAAAACACATGTTAAAACCAAATATGTGATGATACAGTTACCAAAACACATGTTAAAACCAAATATGTGATGACACAGTTACCCAAACACATGTCAGGACCAAATATGTAATGACACAGGTACCCAAAACACATGTTAGAACCAAGTATGTGACAGAGACAGTGAGATGAGAAAAAGAAACTGAAGAAGAAGAATAATCAAAGTGAAGGAATTAAAATTTGTGAAAAAACTTAAACTAGCTAAGACTGTCTATCTCCGTATTGTAGGGATACTAAAAAAGTGTCACATTTAAAAAGCAAAAGACCCAGTCTAGTGAAAGGCTGCGTCAGGATCCGAACCCATGGTCTTTTGATCCAAAGTCGAGCGTCTGGCCGCTGCACGAGGGCGTCTGCCATGAGTGTACTTGTACATGTATATGTATGTGTGTAAGCGAACACGTATTCATGGACTGTCGCTTGTGAGTGTGCGCATGTGTGTATATATCCATGTGTGTGTATGCAAACGCGTATGCGTGCATAGCTAAAGTATAAGCTTAATGGGCTACAGCTAAGGGCTTCACAATCTACAGGGGACTCAATTCCTCTTTTTGATTTCACAGTTTTCCTAAATATATTTTAAATTTGATTTTCTTTAAATAGAGTCTTTCAAATGAATATATAATGTTTCCGTTTTTTTGTGAAATAAATTCTTTGTTATTTCTTTTACTACAAACTTAACGACAACATATTTCCAGGTGTTTTGTTAATATCCTACCCCACACAGGGGAAATTCACTGTTCACGGGACATCTAATATTTCAGGGAGTGGTAGATAAGCTGCATGCACTCACAGGACCTAGGCTGCATGCAGTCCTGGGACCTAGGCTTCACTTTCTTGTGGAACGTAGGTGTGTTGGGGCTAGAGCCAATTCTAGATGTATTGGGGTCATTAAAAGCAGCAGATAGCCGGGAAACCTAGTCTTACCACCCTTTAAGTCCTGTGACGTCATATATATACACGCACGCGCGCGCACACACACAAACACACACACACACACACACACACATATATATATATATATATATATATATATATATATATATATTACAGTTTCTTATATTAGCTGGTGTAATTTATTAAGGGAGGGGTCTCGGGGCTTTATATAGTTATGAACCTCATAAAGTCTCAATCTGGCCTAGACATGCGGTAAACGAACTCATGCTAAGTCATCATTTACTTTGCTCCCTCCTTTCAACTTCACCTTTTAGCTCCCTGCCACATATGATTTTTGATTTGTTTTTATCTCTATACCCCTGTGGGTTCCAGTGTAAGTACAAACCCACACATGTTGTACCACTATCAAAGGTCGGCCTTCACCTATGACACAACCTTGAACTGTAGCTTCCGGTCCATCCCTCCATCGCAGTTCAAGTCAACGTCTGCAGCAGACCCCATGGGAGAGAATGGCCAAAATTGTTCTAGCAGGTTCGTGTTATCTGGTGCAAACATTGTTAATGACGCTATAGCTAAAAACGATTCTTTGTATGTGTCCGTTGATATATGTTAAAGCATATTATCTGCCCCATCTCTGTCGTTTACCCTGCGGCCCTAGAGATAGGGATACGAAAGAATAGCCTATCATGGCCTATGTCGTATTTCAATTTGACTATTTTATGGAAACAGGAACCGACAGTTATTGAGTTTCTAAAGAGCCCGATTGTGAAAACAGAGTTGTTGAAAGAAATGATTTTTTTTTTTAAATTAATAATTCTGCCACTCATAAAGCTGTAGCTACAGTGTTCGTGCTTTGTGTCGCGCTCTCGTCACGCAGTAGCTCTTTGCCTGTGAGAGATCATATAGAAAATAGTCAGGGCTGGATTTAGACTTGACATGGCCCTAAACTATATCAATTTCTGAGGCCTCTGTCATTTAAATTACATCAGCTAATCTCAGAAAACTAAACTATACGCGCTTTTGAAATATATGGATTATGGAAATATATTGTCTTTTTATTTTTTTTTTAGTAAAGATAAAGAATGTGCAAAATCACATAACTTTTATTATATAATCATTTGGTTCTTTCGAAATATCCTACCCCGAGATGATATCACATGACAGTCCAACATTTTAGAGGATGATAAGACTGGCTGTCCTGGCTTTCTGATGCATTTAATGACCCCAAAACATCTAGAACTGGCCCTAACCCCACCTCACCTATGTCCCATGAGAGAGTGCAGCCTAGGTCCCACGACTGCATGCAGCCTATCTACCACCCCTTGAAATATTAGACTGTCCCATGACCTGTGGATTTTCCCTGTTTGGGGTAGGATATTAAGAAAGCACCAATCATTTTAAAGGCTCTCTTGAAAGAAAATTGCATTTGTGAAGAAACAAAAATTGGAATTTGTTGAGGCCCCTACAGATTATAAGGCCCACAGCTGAAGCTTAGTCAGCTTAAGCCTGAATTCAGTACTGCATATAGGATAAAACCCACTGCAACAAAGTCAGTATTCTCAACTTTCAACTTGAAACTTACATTTTAAACCTCAGCATCAGATTTCAGACTCCATAAAATACTAGTTGCTATATTGATCAGAGGTGATGCTGGGTGAGCTGAAAAGATGGCATGGAGGGATATCATCAAGAGAGCTGTTCTAGGAAACCGGGGATTGTGATGAGCGCCTACGCCCGTTGAAAGGGCACATGATACTGATGATTATTACATCCATCAGTGGAGCTGTATCATTGTAGTGGCTACACACCTGCCTGCCAGCCAAAATATCTTGGGTTTGAGTCCACAGAGTGAAGGATTTTTTTCTTTAAAACCAACCTTGACTCCCATGTGGAACCAGCCTAGAATGGGTAACAGACAATGCCCTGGGAAGTGAAAGCCGTTGGCATAATGATGGCCTCATCACCCAGCGAGTGCCGTTTGGTCTTTAAAATATGAGTCTGTCGTCATGTATGTTACTCGGGTGCAAAGGGTAATTTTCTTTCTTAACTAATTCAAAGGTAAAAAAAAAAAAAAAAAAAGGAAAGTTGGGAGATGTGAAGCTGCGTCATTGCACCCGGTTATAAACCATAAGTGCTCTGCCACCAGTGCGGACAGCTGATAAGAATTGTCCACCTGTGTCGCCATTCGCACGTAACTCTACAGCGACGTTCCTCCATTTACCCCAGAGTGTCAACTCTGGTACCCATTTCCTAGAGGCTGGGTGAACCCCTGGAACCGCCCGGTTTCAAACACCGGCCGTGGGCTACAGCAAGTTGCAGCTGGATTTGAAAGTGAGCCTTTTGTCAACTGCGCTAACCCCCCCCCCCCCCCCCTCCCCCCCCTCTCCCGATACAATGAATAAACTGCTACATTGTCAGTCACTGTCTGTGTATTTTCTGATCCTGTGAACTTCGACTCTTATGACAGTGTCCATGTGTGATTTTAAGAAACATAATATCAACTATCGTGTGTTTGTATCTGGCAGGCCGCTCCGACTGTCCGTACTTCGCCAGGTGTGAACGCCTTGGCGACCGCCTTGCCAAGAACCTGCAGAAGTTTAAGCTGCATAAGATCATTATACAGCCTCATGAATGGGAGGTGAGTTGGGGGTTGGGAAATGGTGGTCATCCTGCGGGTTGAAGTATGTGCATGTGCCAGGTTAAAGTTAGAGGTTAAAGTTGAGAGTATCGACTTCATTGCTCCAGGTTTTATTCCATCTAGCTCGGTCTCTTTCCACGGAACAGCTAGCCATCTGCACCAACTCTATAGCTCTGTCGATGATCCCCATGGATCTCCATAAAGATTGCACTCGTGAACTGAAATGAACCCACGGCTTTCAGAGAACGAGGCAAACAGCTTGACCACTTCACCACGGAGACCCCGAATATTGTGAAGCCTCCATCAGCTCCACAAAGAATCTTTTGTGGGGAGATAGAAGAAGGTAGATTCTCTCACATTGTGGCCAGAAAGAAAACACTTCAATGACACGCTGAAGGCATCACTGTAAACTTCACTAAAAACCATGACACTTGGGAGGCTGCTGCACAAGACTGAAATATCCAATGAGGTGCAGCGACTTGCGAGGCATCTAGAAAAGGGCAGCTCAATAGCGAAGACAGGCTAGAAAGTCCTGTCTAACAGGCCCTTTATCTGAAGACGCTATTTTATGCCCTCATTGTCCTAGATCCTTCTGGGGAGCCCTTATCGTGTTTATAAGTCACCTGCTGACTCACAGATAGTTAACAGTAGTTTCATGATGGTTGAAAGAAAGAGTGGTCCTCATCACTTGTGATAAATGAACAACAGAAAAGTTCCATTAGAGAAATATTGTATATTGTTATACAGTCCAATCAGTACACTGTTTTAAACAGTGTGAATGTGAAATGGTGATGAAGTCTCAGGAGTGTAATGATATCTCAGTGTTTGATTGTTATGGAGGTCTTAGAGTATACACCAAGTAAGTGTGTATGATGGTTGTAGACTCTTAAAAGTATAATGGCTTTTGCATGAGTGGTGGTTATGGGATTCTATGCGGATAATGGTATTTGCATGAGTGATGTTATGGAGTCCAGTGAGGATAAGGGTATGTGTGTAGTTGTGGTTTAAAACTCCCAGAAGCATTATCATTTGTGATTGGTGCTTGTTGCAAAGTCCCAGGAGTTCTATGGAGTTCGAGAAGTGTAGTGGTATTTGTGTTATGATGGTTACATCGTATCATGCATGGAATTTTGTGATTGTATGAGGATAAACAGTCTTTTGAAATGAATGTTGTATATATATATATACATGTGTACATATATTTGTATAGAATATAAGGGGAATGGTTTGTGTATGGTTATAAAGCTACACAAATATGAGATAAGCTAGTTGCATGGTTAGCTATATAAGCTAATACGTATCTGTTTTTATACTGAGTTAAACAGAAGCTAAATGAAGATAACAAAAGCAGTACAAAGATTTAACAGCATTAGTCAATGGCTAAGCACCAGGAAGGAAATCAAGGCCAAAATTTTGAGAGCATGCACCTTCCTTGTGGAAAATAAAGGTGTGAGTAGTGGACTATCTTGCAGTCATTAAGGAAGAAAATAGGGCCTTTGAACAGAATTCTATAGAAAGATTCTCAGGATACTATGGACCAAGAGGAAAAGAAAGGCTGCCATTCTAAAAGATTTAAACATCAAGGAAGATTGGCTACTAAATAGCATCTTGTCTCAGAAACAGAAATATCTTGGCCATATGGCCATATCAAGCCCCACAACTAACTGGAATTATAGTAGCAAAGGTCCTGAGGCCAGGAAAGTGGGGGCAAGGGCTGAACAGCATGAAGGTAGGCACAGAATGTATGTGATACCTTGGGTAGTAAAATAAACAATGCAAGAGCCGTCTCGAGAGAGAGCAAGATCGATTGATGCAGGCTATGATGTAAGCACAGTTCTGCAAAGGACGTGCTACGTGTTGATGATGATAATGATGATGATGAAGGAAAATAAAAAGCCAAGAAAGCTGTAGTGGCACAGTGGCTTGTTTATTTGCGTGCCAACTTAGTAGTCATCAGAATTCCAGTTGCAGCTAATCTTTAAACTGGTCTTATCAACCAGCCATAAAATGATCATCAGTAAATGTTCTGGGTAATACAGGTGGTCTGTGTGATAGTGACCACATCACCAAAAATAGTGTGATTTATTCACACAGAACGGGTGCCAGCACCATGTGCTGAATGTGTCTAAAAAAAAATTGTACCGAGTCTTTTACTTAACATAACATAACCCTTGACCTGTTAAGGCCGTGAAGGTGTATCGATGGAAGCACTAACACACAAATCTGCCATCTTTCTCAGTCTTCCGTTTGATGAATAAGTGAGTGGTAACTTAGTCCTGTCTATTTCTTGGTGCTGTCATTTCAGGTTCCTCATTGCCCTTTTCTTCTTTGATTACCCCCCAGTGTTCCTTGAAGCACAGTCTTTGCAATTGAATAATGTCTCACCAAGTACCGGAAACAAGCTAGCTTGTGATATTTCACCACTGCTAAGAGCGTCTCCTGATATTCTTTAAAATGTGTATGTCTACTTTGGCAATGACCATGACCTCTGTTTTGCTAGTGTTAACTTTCGTGTTGTGCAGTTTTCAAATTTGTTAAAGTATTTTTTATGGTCTTGCAGTCCAGTTTCTGAAGTAGCAATTAATGCTTGGTTGTCCACAAATAGTAGCTCTTCGATGAAACTGTTTGGCTTTAAATCTTCAGCTCCTTGGTATATTTTAGTCCTTGTCTGGTTGGTATCTTTATACAGGTGTTATCAATATAAGTTATGAAGGGCAGGAAAAATAGCCCTGCGTACTCTGGATTTTATGGTGAATGGTTCTGAGTGTCCTCCCTTTGTTCTATCAGTACATTAACATTTACATATACTTTTTAAATGCATGTTCACACCGTAACTTTTCAGTAATAATTATTATTATTACTATTTTTGTTATTAATCAGTTTAGTATATAATCTGCATTTGAATGTCTGGAGCATAGGCGTGATTGTAGTCAACTTGTCGCTTACTACCATGTATTATTATGTATGTATTTGTTTGTTTTGTTTTCTAAATAGCTATTTCGTAAAATAGGTCTTTAACATTTGCATTCAAAAACCTGAATCCTCCTTTCCATTTCCACAGGGAGAGTGCAACTCTTGCATCCGTATAAGTAACTAGACAATACCAGCGAATAAAGTTGCCCTAGTGTGAACTATTTACTGCACTACTTACTGAGTGACCGTGGGTCTATACAAACCAGCACCATATGTCTGGTACATCTAAAGACTGACTGACTGTCTGTTTACCGTATATGCCCCTAGCCTTGGCTGGCAGCTTGTCAAGTAGGGAAGCTCCAGCCAGCGTAAAGGGCATTGCCTTTCTGATCCGGCAGCTTCCGTAGCATGCTTTGTTCCAAACGTACTGTTCTTATCTTTCTTTTGAAATTAACATAAAAGGCTGAGAGAGGTGATCATGATGCATAAACAACACAGTCTCTACACTATTTGCCCATTTTTGGGGCTGTGGAGAGGGAGACATTCTTTCCCCCGCCTCCCCATAGCACAACATAACACTCATCTGGTAGTGTGCTAGCAGCAACAATTTACCACATGCACAGTATACCTGAAGGAGTGCCCATGATCTTGTACCTTACTTTAGGTCAGTTGTTGTTTCATTTTGTTTCCACTGTAGAACTCTGTTCATCCTCAAGTTAAATGTATCCTCTTCTTTTTTACGTTCACCAGATGTAAACTCCATCGAAAAGTTCTGGCTGTTTGGTCACTTCTGAACTTTCAGTCTTGTTCCAGAATTTGTGTTTTGCATGTAACTCTGTTTTAGAGATCTAGCTTATTTTTATGCAGATTGTTAGTTCCTTGCCTCTTAGGCAGATGTATTCTGACTTTGCTCTAAAAACTCTAATTAGCCAACTTTCATGACATGCTTGTTAAAGTGCACTGGGCCAACTTTCATGACATGCTTGTTAAAGGGCACTGGGTCTGTTTGTTGTTGGTTTTTTTTTTTTTTTTAATTTAAACCCCAATTGGGCCCTAAAACCCACAGTAGCATTGTTAAGGTTATAATTGAGGTGTTTGATAAGGTTTTACCTTGCTTTTAGGTTAATTTTAATAGCCTTCTGCTCTGCGTCCACTGTGCTGCTGTCTAGGGGTTGGAACCTTAGGAGGATTGGTTCTTAGAGTTACTTACAGTTTCTGTTTTTCTTGTTTGTTTTTTCTTTTTTCTTTATTGTGTCTGAGAGAAACTTTTCATGAGAAAGACAATGCCAGTCTTACTACTTAATTGCATAACATTCCTAATGTTTTGCTTTGTCTCAGAGACTCCCAACATTTACTTGTAAATTAATTGTATTTATTCTCACCTGATAGAAATGGCTGCAAGACACATGCACAGAGAGAGGCTGGTCATTCAACAAGTCACCAATCATCTGGAGAGAGCTGATTGACCGGGGAGGTAAAGGCGTCTTGATCGGGGACGCCAATGACTTCCAGGAATATGCCAAAGCATACTACGATGTAGAAGTGGAGATGGACAGCTCAGATATGCTAATGATTGCCGAAGAGAATCGAGCCACCAAAATTATCACCGATCAAGAGGAGCTGGATTTTAAAGCTCTCAGCCATCCCATAAATGTGTGTCTAACCAACGCAGTCAGCCCAATATGCTATCACCTGTTGAATAGCTTAACATCTGGCCAGATTTTTGGCAAGAACATTGAAGTTTTCATCCGCCTCTTGGTATCATCTCCCAAAGATATTGACAAAGTCAAAGGTTATGTCATGGAAGCTGAAGATCTGGCTCATGGACTACTGGCAGGTATTTCTATATGTACCAGCCCACATGAGGCATTTGAGGATTGCACTGCTGTAATTTTATTGGACAGTATAAATAAACTTACATCTGAGTCACATAAGGACTGGTTAGAGAGGATTACTGCATTCTTCGGGAGGTATGCCTTGATCATCAACCATAAAGCATTGAAAAACTGTAAGGTGAGAATGTTAACTCTCATAGGAAGTCAGGAAAATAGTTTACAAGTCTACTTCTTCTTCTTCTTCTTCTTCTTCTTCTTCTTCTTCTTCTTCGTGTTCACCAGCTGTAAACTCTGGCTGAAAGTTCTGGTTGTTCATCCACTTCTGAACTGCAGTGCTGTTTCAGAACCTAAGTGTTGCATGTGCATCCGTTTTACAGATCTGACTCATTTGTATGCAGACTGCTGGTTCCTTGCCTTTCAGGCAAATGCACTTTGACTTCGAAGGAAGCTCCCAATTAGTCGACTCTTACGACATGTTTTTGGGTAGGCAGTGGGTCTGTTCTTGTTTTCCCTATAACAGGGCCCCTGAACCCACACGGGGACAGTTTACAAGAATAACTGTTTCCCTTTAAGACAGCTACTTAACTCTTTGAGTCCCAGGGGGTTTAGCATCACAGGCCCAAGGGGTAGTGAAGAGAGACATAAAATCGGCGCATCATACGTTCATTGGGCTTTTAGGTAGGAACCTATGAACGTATGATGCATTCCTTGGTACTCAAAGAGTTAAAAAGCCACTTTCTTCTAGCTGTTAAAGGATTTCATGAAACAATCAACTGTTGATATGCCTTTTCTGTCCCTGTTAACCTATTCTGTTTCAGGGAGCTCTCCTGCTGATCTGAGGGTTGTGGGTTCAGGTCCGATGGAGCCATAGTTTAAAAACAAAATTTCCACTTTGGGTACCCTTAAATGGGTACCAGGTAAAGTCCTGGGAAGTAAAAGCGGCAGGCATGGTGTTGACCACATCACCTACATAGTCCCCATTGGTCTAGCCATATGTGCATGGAAAAGGGTCTTTTACATTTACTTTGCATTCTGCTTCAGACAATTATAATAAAAAAGCACCAATCCGAGAAAGAAATAGTTTTAGGAATATTGGATGTATGGGTCTTTCATTTGAAGCCTGGTGCATTGCTTGATGCGGAAATAAGGTTGAAAATATTTACTTCATTGCATCAGGTTTTATCCCATCTGACTAGGTCTGTTTCTGCAGAATTGCTGGTCTCCTGCCATGAACATTGCACAAAGCACGAGCTTTGCAGCTCAAGTGACAGTCCACATGGATCACCATAAAAATTACATGTGTGAGCCAAATGACCCAATTCATGCCATAAACCCATGACCATCAGAGAATGAAGCTCTGTCTTCTTGCTCTGGAAAGGTATGAAAATAAAAGACAATATAAGGAGTTTGAAACTTGTCTACACTTGATAAAGAAATGAGAAGAGGTGAGAAATGTACTTGTTGCTGTGTGTCATGGGTGAGTGTATGTATCAAGAGTTATGTGTGGAGAGAAGCCATGATAAATGTTGACATCATATTCATCTGCCACCTTCCTCTCAGCCAAAGATGGATCTTTGTTTATTCATTCTTTGAATGTGGCCAAGAGTTAATCATTATAACTGGAAAGTGAATGTCTCACCCTATCATAGTCTTCAATTATTCTCTCATGTTTGAAATCAAGAATACCACCGTAGCTGGGCATATGATAAACATTGGTCCCCATAAATATGAAATACTAGTTTAGCTGTCTCAGAAGCATTTTCTGTGAGCTAAGAATATAATTAAATGTCCCTCTGCTCCATGCTGCACGTGTAACCACACACCTCTTACTAGCTAAACCAATTAGCTGGCTACTTGCTAGATCATAGATGTTTGGAGGACATGCTTCTCTCCATGGATGGATGTTATATGTTTAGATGACATGCTTCTGTCCATGGATGGATGTTACATGTTTAGATGACATGCTTCTCTCCATGGATGGATGTTACATGTTTGGATGACATGCTTCTGTCCATGGATGGATGTTACATGTTTAGATGACATGCTTCTCTCCATGGATGGATGTTACATGTTTGGAGGACATGCTTCTCTCCATGGATGGATGTTACATGTTTGGAGGACATGCTTCTCTCCATGGATGGATGTTACATGTTTGGAGGACATGCTTCTCTCCATGGATGGATGTTACGTTTGGATGACGTGCTTCTCTCCATGGATGGATGTTACATGTTTGGAGGACATGCTTCTCTCCATGGATGGATGCTACATGTTTGGATGACATGCTTCTCTCCATGGATGGATGTTACATGTTTGGAGGACATGCTTCTCTCCATGGATGGATGTTACATGTTTGGAGGACATGCTTCTCTCCATGGATGGATGTTACATGTTTGGAGGACATGCTTCTCTCCATGGATGGATGTTACATGTTTTGGATGACATGCTTCTCTCCATGGATGGATGTTACATGTTTGGAGGACATGCTTCTCTCCATGGATGGATGTTACATGTTTGGAGGACATGCTTCTCTCCATGGATGGATGTTACATGTTTGGAGGACATGCTTCTCTCCATGGATGGATGTTACATGTTTGGAGGACATGCTTCTCTCCATGGATGGATGTTACATGTTTGGAGGACATGCTTCTCTCCATGGATGGGTGTTGCATGTTTGGAGGACATGCTTCTCTCCATGGATGGGTGTTACATGTTTGGAGGACATGCTTCTCTCCATGGATGGATGTTACATGTTTGGAGGACATGCTTCTCTCCATGGATGGATGTTACATGTTTGGAGGACATGCTTCTCTCCATGGATGGATGTTACATGTTTGGAGGACATGCTTCTCTCCATGGATGGATGTTACATGTTTGGAGGACATGCTTCTCTCCATGGATGGATGTTACATGTTTGGAGGACATGCTTCTCTCCATGGATGGGTGTTGCATGTTTGGAGGACATGCTTCTCTCCATGGATGGATGCTACATGTTTGGATGACATGCTTCTCTCCATGGATGGATGTTACATGTTTGGAGGACATGCTTCTCTCCATGGATGGATGTTACATGTTTGGAGGACATGCTTCTCTCCATGGATGGATGTTACATGTTTGGAGGACATGCTTCTCTCCATGGATGGATGTTACATGTTTGGATGACATGCTTCTCTCCATGGATGGATGTTACATGTTTGGAGGACATGCTTCTCTCCATGGATGGATGTTACATGTTTGGAGGACATGCTTCTCTCCATGGATGGATGTTACATGTTTGGAGGACATGCTTCTCTCCATGGATGGATGTTACATGTTTTGGAGGACATGCTTCTCTCCATGGATGGATGTTACATGTTTGGAGGACATGCTTCTCTCCATGGATGGATGTTACATGTTTGGAGGACATGCTTCTCTCCATGGATGGATGTTACGTTTGGATGACGTGCTTCTCTCCATGGATGGATGTTACATGTTTGGAGGACATGCTTCTCTCCATGGATGGATGCTACATGTTTGGATGACATGCTTCTCTCCATGGATGGATGTTACATGTTTGGAGGACATGCTTCTCTCCATGGATGGATGTTACATGTTTGGAGGACATGCTTCTCTCCATGAATGGATGTTACATGTTTGGAGGACATGCTTCTCTCCATGGATGGATGTTACATGTTTGGAGGACATGTTTCTCTCCATGAATGGATGTTACATGTTTAGATGACATGCTTCTCTCCATGGATGGATGCTACATGTTTGGAGGACATGCTTCTCTCCATGGATGGATGTTACATGTTTGGAGGACATGCTTCTCTCCATGGATGGATGTTACATGTTTGGAGGACATGCTTCTCTCCATGGATGGATGTTACATGTTTGGAGGACATGCTTCTCTCCATGGATGGATGTTACATGTTTGGAGGACATGCTTCTCTCCATGAATGGATGTTACATGTTTGGAGGACATGCTTCTCTCCATGGATGGGTGTTGCATGTTTTGAGGACATGCTTCTCTCCATGGATGGCATTTTCAGTCTTGATCATTATACAATTAGTTTCATTATTGATTACCAAATGTTGTAGCAAAATGGAACACAACTTTTTGAAAAACTGAAATGTACCAACTAACTAAAAACACTTGTTTTAAGCACATTATTTTTGAGTGTATTGTTTTTAAGTACTAAAAAATATTTCACGTGTCTATCACAGATATTGCTTTGTGGCAGTGGTCCTTTGAACATCATCGCCATAGAAATGGCAAAGAATGCACCAGGCATTTCTCAGCGTAACATTATGGGTCTAACAACCATCATCGAGAACCAGGCCAAATCTGTTGTTGGAGAGAGGCTGGGGGTAAATCCTGCAGGTAAGTGGAAACATTAGGTGTTGTTTACAGATTATCATCGAGAGGCTCAACTTCAAGGCACCAAATCATTATCCCATATGTTTCCGTCCCTCTCCATAGTATGGATAGCACCGGGAAGGTTAATCTAGGCAAAAAGTGCCTACAGAAGTCGGATATGTTGGCCGAAAAGTGTAAATATCACAGTTATGTTACAAATGGGCACAACACATTTACATCTTTGAATGAACAAAGAAGAAGAAGAAGGACAGCATTTTTTTCCCTTTTATGCCCTGTAGTCATGTGTTGCAGTCACTGTCTGGGTAGTATATTTCTATAAACATTTAAAAAAAAAAAAGAACAATCATTGTTTTTGTTTTGTTTTTTTAAGTATAAAAAAACTGTTCTCATAGTTCAATCATACCTAAAATACATAGAAAAGAATTTTTGAATCATTAATCGAGAACTGATATCACTGTACTCGAACATTCCCACACATGCTCTGTCCCCTTCTCCAGTAGCACGCGAAGAGTCATCATGCTAATAGTAGCAGTTGCAGCCTGATTAAAAGTCTGCCTGTTTCCCCCTCAGTGTTAAATATCTTCCGGAACCTCTACTCGCACCCCTTTGAATCGGTCATTTAATGTATGGATTCTCCATCTGCTCTAATGCATTGTCCATTTGATCCTAGAGAGCCTTATCCATGTCTGCTTTATCACAAAGTAGCTCACCACCCAGTGGAACAGCAGCATCCAATCTATCACATATTTGCTTGGGGCCTTAGATTTTCCCTGTCCTTATGATTTTGTAATTTACAGTTGCACAGGTGCTGCTTTTCTCTTAAAGTGGTGTATTTCTTTGGTCTTTATTCGACTAATAATCTGTGTACCCCTAAAAAATAGTATAAACAGTAACTGATGCACGCATGGAGATTATTTGGAAATCAGTTCACATGTGCAGTGATCCACAGTGATTAAAGTGACAGCATATCCCACATACAAGGAAAAATCCACACCCAATGGAGATGACTGTCTCAGAGTGAAAAACCTGTGAAATGCGTGAAATTTTATGTTTTGGAAAGTTTCCGTTACTCATTTAACTATAAATGTGCTGATTTTTTGCTTTGAATCTGTGTTTTTTTTTTTTTTTTGCACCGCAAATAAGGCAAAATGAAAACTAGGTGCCTGTTTTTTCATGCACCCCAAAAAAGGCCAAATGAAAACTAGGTGTCTGTTTATATTAAAAAACATTTCTTACAAAGACATGGTTATTAACAGGTTGCATGTCAAATCTCAGCAACTTACACACAATGGTTACTGAGTTGCATATTTTTAAACTTGGCCACAACTTCTGGAACCGACTACAGAGTTTTAATTTTCAGGTCTGATACATTAGCCTTCAGGTTGTGTATTTCATGAAAGGCACATTTGTTGGAGTGGGGTTGTTGTAGAGATTTGTGTCTCAGTCTGGTATCAACATATCTATGCGGGGACTAGAAGTGCCAATGCAAAGATGACATTGTAGAATTATTTTATTGTTTTTAAAACACACATTACTTTGTTTCTCTTGACGTTTTATACATTCCTGCAGACATTGTCAACTTGATTGTTTGGGGTAACATCAAAGAGCACCAGCTGCTAGATCTGGATTACTGCCGTACCTACAGATACAAATGTTCTGTTCTTGGCCCACCTTGGTATGACTAGATTTTTTGTTTTAAACCTTTATGAGACTATTGAATATTTTATTACTTACATCTGTTGCTTTTATCTTTATGATTACTGTTATCATCATCATAAAGTACCTTACCATTGGTATGGGGCGATTGTGCCTCTCCACATTCTGGAATCTGCAACTGCAGGTATGGGTGTGTATATTGGCAAGCCTCCATGCCATGACAAAAGGCTGTCAAGAATCTTCTCACACTGTCTTCCTCTGTCTTTCTTTCCACAGATCTTTCTAGCAGTCACAACATGTAACAGTTTCGTTCTTCTCTCAACATCTTCTTCTTCTTCTTCTTCTTCTTCTTCTTCTTCTTCTACTTCTTTTTCTTCTTCATCTTTCATTAGCTTGAAATAGAGTATCTGTTTCTGCAGTGTTGTCTCTAGGAGAAACTTAACTGTCTGTTATAATTCACTCAGCGACCCGTAAAGTTTGACTTGCTTGGATGTTTCTCTTGGCCAACAGTTTAACCTTGATATGTTGAATTTGGGACAGTCTCATAAACTGACCGAAACAAATATGACTGCTTCTTTTTCTGATGTTTGTGAAAAGTTGAATTCTAATACTCGCCTTTTTCACAAAATCTTGGTTGCTCTTTTTGGCAGTCCGAGGAATTCTGAGGATTCTTCTGTAAAGCCACATCTCCAATGCCTCAAAATATTGTTTGTCATGTTTATTAATTGTCTAGAATTCACGGCAATATGTTAAAACTGGCTCTACATAGCACACAAGAATTTTTATCATGACCTCCGGTGATACAGATTTATTGTATCATATGTTCTTCATTTGATCAAATGCAGAAGATTTTGTGCAATTAATCTATGTCATTATTTTATCAGCAGGACTTTTTTTCTTAGCAAAACAAAAAATAGTTCCGGTCTTCTTCTTCTTCTTCTTCGTCTTCTTCTTCTTCTCTTCCACCTTGTACCTCATCGAAGTGTCGGGGGGAGATGTAATGTTCGTTGATGAGCTCTGTCAAGAGCACTATTAAGACTGATGTTCATTTCTGTAAGGCTGTTCTTAATGCCATCACTCCATCTTTTCCGAGGTCTTCCACTCGCCTTATACCCGTTGTAACGTTTTAGTGTGGCTCGCTGTGGCAGATAGTACCAGGGCATTCTTGTTAGGTGTCCAAACCATTTCATTTGTTGTTCTTTGATGACCTGTAAGACTGGCTTTATTCGTCTGATTTCATGATTTTGTATTCTGTCTTTCCTTGAAACTCCTGCAGCTCTTCTAAGGCATTTCATCTCTGTTGTCACAATTTTACGTTCATTGGAGGATGTAAGTGTCCACGTTTGGCACTGATAGCATAGTATTGGCCAAAAAATAGTTCTGATAAGATTCACTTTAGTACTCTGAGGTATCTGCTTGTGTGTCAACAGGGGAGATAGTTGACCCATTACTTGATTAGCTTTGGCACATCTGGAGCTAATTTCTCTGTCCAGTTTTCCGTCTGAAGTAAAAATTGTTCCCAAATACTTAAATTCCTCTGTTTGTCTCAGGGTGTTGTTTTTTAATTTAATTTCTAAATTGTCTTTATGTGTTCCTATCATCATTGTCTCTGTCTTCGTAGTGTTTATTTTCATATTATATTCCTCCCCTTTGTTACTAATTTGATTTAGGTGGTTCTGTAGGCATTCCATATTTTCTGCTATGAGTACCTGGTCGTCGGCGAAAAGTAATTCTGTTATATCTTCTCCCTGATTACAGTCTGTTTCGCTACATATGACGTCCATGTATGTTATGAAAAGAAGCGGCGATAGTACACAGCCCTGACGCACACCAGAGTTCACTATAAAAGTTCTAGACAACCCTGCCTTTGATCTTATGCAGCATTCACTACGTGTGTACAGGCTTTTGCAAATATTAATGAGATGATTGCTGATTCCTTTTTTCCCCATACATTCCCACAACATATTCCTGTCGACTCTATAGAAGGCTTTTTCTTGGTCTATGAATGTCAACAAACATGTCTTATCATGTTCTTTTGCCCTCTCTGATAGTTGTCTCAATGTATAAATGGCATCTGTGCAACTTCTGTTTCGTCGAAAGCCCATCTGTGCTTCTGAAAGTTGATACTCTATCAATGGTCTCAGCCTTTTTTCGATGATCTTAGCATACATTTTCCCAGTGTGACTGAGAAGTGATATTCCTCTGTAATTAGTACATTCCCTCTTACTTCCTTTATTTTTCCACAGCGGGACAATGACAGCAGTTTGCCAATCTGATGGTGTTTCTTGATATAGTTCCGGTACCTACCAGAAAGTGTCTAAATAATGCTTGTACTCACCAGAAAGTGTCTTTTATTATAGCACGGGGAAATAAGTATGCTTAGAAAAGGTGCAGGTATTGTGTGCAATTGTGAGCCGCCACATAAAAGCCTGGTTTATCATCGTTGCATCATTTGAAGCTAGCAGTGAAGTGTTTAGGCATATTAAAGCATCACGCTAGGTGCACTTGGTTACCTGCATAAAAGCTTCAGTCTCTTCCAACAGGTTACATAAGCGGGTGTTCAGCACATGGCATAAATTCAGCGTCGTCTTTTTGCTTCTTCGTGCTCACCGGCTGTAATCTCCAGTGAAAAGTTCTGGTTGTTCGTCCATTTCTGGACCCTAGTCCTGTTCCAGAACCTGAGTGTTGCGTTTCACATGTCTGACTTTTGTATGCAGACTGTTGTTTTCTTGCATCTCAGTCAGATATACTACTAATTCAGTAAAAGCTGCCAGTTAGTCGACTCTTAAGACATGCTTACATGCTTTTGGGTAGGCAGTGGGTCCACTTTTGTTTTCCTTACAATGGGGCCCCGCAACCCACACAGGGATAAAGTCAGTATAGAAGTGAGGTGAATGCAGTAAGGCTATGAAAGTCTGATTTATATTAAATCAATGGCACTCGCCAAAATCCTAGTGTTTGTGTGTATGGGTGTATAAATGGGGGAGCTAGGTGTGTGTCCCAAAGAGAACAAACAATATCAATATTTTTGTTATGGGTAATATATAGATATAAAAAAAAATGGTTGGGCTCCCTTGATGCCATAGAAACGATATGTGGAACGGGTTGACATGTATTGATTTGTAGAACATTTATAAGTGGGTGCCAAGCAGACCTCAGAAATCATGTGCAACTTCTCCTCAACTGAACAACCATCGGCACTTACTACCACAAAAAGTAAGTATACTAAAATTGTAAATCTCTTCTTCTTCTTCACACTTACCGACTGTTAACTCCAGCAGAAAGTTCTGATTGGTTGTCCACCTGCAGACTTGAGTCTTGTTCCAGAACTTGAGTGTTGCATGCACATCCATTTGACAGATCTGCCTTATTTCTTTGCAGATTATGCTTCCTTGCCTGTCAAACAGAAGTACTCTGACTTCAAAGAAAGCCCCCCAATTAGTTCACTCTTATGACCTGCTTGTTGGAGAAGCAGCGGGTCTATTCTCCCCGCCCCCCCCCTCCCCACAATGGAGACCCAGAACCCACGCATGGTGTATAGGAAATAAAGAAAGGTAACTACATCGGTAGGGTCCACAGGTCCCCAAGGAAAGGATGAACAGGGTAATGGACAAGTAGATGGACAGACATAAGTTTACAGATGACACAGATGGGCAGATCTCGGTGGAACCTCCCCCTCCCCCTCTTTTTTTTTTTTTTTAGAGGGCTGAGTGGTCTCAAGGCACAGTGTCTGCCTAGAGTGCTAGAGTTCACAGGTTGAGGCTCCGGTGGAACCTGTTTTTTTTTTATGTGGACTTCCAGTAATTTCCCCTGGTCTCTGGTTAGTAAGATCTGACGCCAGTGTGTATTGCTGCGCACATAAGAAAATCTCTTGGCAGTTGGAAATAGAAAAGAGCAGCCTACCAGGGCAAAATTTGGAGTTAAAAATCTGCCCAAGGTATTCCAGGATCCTCGTCGGTGCTATGGAGCTCGTACACTTCGATTCTTCGGACTCAGGCTTGAGTTAGATGTAGAATGGAGCACTAATGGGCTACTACTCGGGTGCCATGGTGTTGATTCGTTGTTCAAACCAAACCAAACAGATGGACAACTCTATTGAAAACTGTTTAGAAGCTTACTGTATAGACACTTTCATTTTGACATTTGTATCTGTAAAATGGCATGAAATGGCAAAGTAATTAATTGATTGATAAATTAAAGGAAATATTGAAATCCGCTGACAGTTCAACTGTATATATATATATATATATATATATATATATATATATATATATATATATATATATATATATATATACACACACATATATGTACACATATATATGTATATATACATATATGTATATATATATATGTGTGTGTGTTTGCAGGTATTCTGTGCCTACCAAGGATGCTTTTCCCGACAAGAAATTTATTGAATATGACTTACCAAAACTTGTAGCCAGCAGAAATCGTAAGGTGAATTGATTTTCTTAATTTTATGTGTACGCTTTTTTTTATGTGTCCATTATACATTTCATCTTTTTAAATCTGTTGGCTTCAAAAATATTTACTAATTTATTTGTTTGAGTTAATTTAGAAAAATACTCTTTTTAGTCAAATAATGTGCTTACTTATTTGAAAAAGTTTTCTTAGTCCTAGTTTTGGTTAACTATTATATATTAGAGATCAAAAGTTGTTCGTCAGTTTCTCTAAAATTTATTTCTTTTTCTTTGTTCATGGGCAAAAGGTCTGGCAGAAAGTTCTAGTTGTTTGTCCATTTGAACTTTGGCCTTGTTCCAGGGCCTGAGCTTTGCATGTAAATTCTATTTTACTAGCTTATTTGTGGACAGTTGGTTGTTCCATGCCACTCAGGCAGATGCACTTTGACTAAGAAAGAAGTCTTCAATTAGTCAACTTCTACAACATGCCCCAGAACCTACATGGGCAAATTTATGCCAGGTCAAAGGTTACGTTCAAGACCCACTTAATCTTTAGATCAGTTGGGTGTCATCTCCACATTGAAAATGAGTGGATCTACAACACTGCCTCACTGTGGCCCTGTTTGTGCACTCTCTCAGACTAATGTCTGTTTTTCTCTCTCTGTTATTCTTCTACTGTTATTGCAAATCTTTACATTTCATTAATCAGATAATGTTTATCAGTTTGTATCATTTGTTGTTGTTCTTCTTCTTCAGCATTCCGAGCATTTGAGGTTCATTGCTGCAGATATCACCAGCCTCCATTCAACTCTCTGGTTGGCCTTCTCTTTCCAGTTGGTGACACCAAGTGTTTGTAGTTCTGCCTGGACATTATCTCTATTGCCTTCTTGGTCTGCCTCATGGGCTACGACCTTTCATCTCCCTTGTGTCTACAGTTTTTACTTCTCTGTCATCTGACATTCTTTCAATATGCTGTTTCATTTGTTAATTTCTGAAATTATTGACATTATGTGTGACTCACATAACAAAGCATGCCTATCACAAAAGAACGGAACAGGATATTATGACTTTGAAAGAACATATGAGCTGTTAACCTTTAGGTGTCATCTGTAATGGGGGCTCCACCAAGTCTGAGTGTTGCAGCTGCCATCTTCACGGTACTGAAGAACTGGGAGAATGGATGTCAAACTGACCACATCTTTTCTTTGGTTGTTTGCTCTGAAGGTAGATGTCTTCATTGGGTTGTCAGTTTCTTTGCTGCTAGATTGATTGATTTTTTTGTGTGTTTAGCTTTTTGTTTGTTTAGTTACTTGGTTGATTGGTTGGTTTATTGTTAGTTTGGTTGTTTGATTAGTTGGGTGGTTAGTTGTTAGGTTGGTTGGTTAGTTGTTAGGTTGGTTGTTTAGTTGGTTGGTTAGTTGTTTAGTTGGTTGGGTTTGATTTGTTGCTAGTTTTATTGGTTGCTAGTTTGGTTAATTATTTTTTTAAATTCTTTTATTCATTGGTTGGTTGTTTCTTTGCTTGGTTTGGTTGGTTAGATGGTTGCTGGTTTAGTGGCTGATTTGGTTAGTCGTTTGATGGCTAGCCGGTTGTGAGTCCTCTGGAGGTCTGCCAGTTTTACACACAAAAAAGCTTTAAAAAAAAACACTTGAATGTGTCATAGAAATGTGAAAAACCATGCCATTGTCATTTAACCTGTCAGTATTCTTTTTAAGAATATCAAGAGTGTTGAGCGCATGTCATGCAGGCAAACATGGTGATGTCATAATCTTCTTCTTCTTCATGTTCACCAGCTGTACACTCTGGCGTAAGTTCTGTTGCTCCAGAACCTGAGTGTTGCGTGTGCATCAGTTTTACAGATCTCATTCTCTTGAATACAGACTGTTGGTTCCTTGCCTCTCCGGCAGATGCACTCCGACTTCAAAGGAAGCTCCCCAATAAGTCGACTCTTACGACATGCTTTTGACGAGGCAGTGGGTCTATTCTTATTTTCCAAACAATGGGGCCCCGGAACCCACACGGGAGTGATGTCATAATGACAGTTTAAACATGGCCACCCCACTTTTGACATGCACCACAGAGAAGCAACATTGTGTTACCCATTTTCTAATCAGTGAAGGAGTGAAGCCAGCCTCGATGGTAGTGAATCTGGACTTTTCATCAGTTTACCACTAGCACCCTCAGTAAGGTAACTCTTTCTTGACTACTGAGGAAGGAGGTAGAGCTTGTGTGTGAAAGTCCAGATTACAGTGTTCTTGGTTTATTCATTCATTCATTCATTCATTCATTCATCTAACCGTCCATTTATTTATCAGTCTGTTCATTCATCCATCCATTCATCCATTTATTCATTCATTCATTTGTTCATTCATCCATACATTCATAAATTGTTTATTTTAGTTTTAACAGAAGTTGCCTGCAACTTTTTTTTTTCTCAAGGTTGGTTTGGAGTGCCACCTGGCCTCTTTTTCTCCTTCCCAGTCAGACTGAAACCCAAGGGCTGTTGGAGTATTGTTCTAGATTTAAGTATCTCAAAAAGGACAAAGGACAGCATCGACATGGCTGTCCAGGTATTATACCTTGTTTAAGTTTGTGAGTGCCATAACATTCTCAGTGAACTTATTAGAACTCTCTGGCATTGTGTGTTTAAGTGTATATGTATATGTGTGTGTGTATGGCTCCCTGCTCCACCCAAGCTAAAATAAATACTAAGTAAAATTCTGGGAAGTAATGGCGGCCGGCATGAGGTTGACCACATCGCCCGCCAAGAGAGCAGGCAGATAGACTGGCTAGCTCTGCACCACTTGGTGGTGAATTGATGTACATTGTGAGGGCCCTTTGGGAGTGAATAAACAGTGCGGAGGCACAGATAGATCATTATGCCAGGAGTTACCAGGGGATCTGGCTAACGCTCAACACTCAGGGGAAGGATGAGCGGGATATACAATCAGACGGTTACCGATACCATCTGACTTGGAACTCTTCCCTTGCTGCTGAAGATGGGGACTCAGCACTAATGGGAGTGTCTCAAACTCTTTGATGTAGATTCTTAATTTAACATTCAGCCTGCTGAATGCCGATTGATGTATAAAATATAGATTTAGCATGGGCTTTTTTCTAGAAAAAAGGGTTCCAGTACTCACTGCAAAGTATCTAAAAATGGTATTGGTACTCACCAAAAAGTACCTATTACTGTAGTGCTGGGAAAAAAAACATACCTTAAAAAAAGAAGGTACTAATACTACATATCCTTGTGTGCCGCCAGAAAGAAACAAAATCTTTGTCTAGCCCTATATTAATTTTGTCTTCATGTCAACTGGAGATGAAATCCCATGATGTTTTATTTTTTTTCTTCACATTCATAAAAGTTAACATTTCATATTCAATGTTATCTTCTTCTCTGTTTCTTTTAAGAAAATAACATTTCATAATTTGTGTTACCCTGATGTTGGTTTATTTCCATGTCCTTTCTTCTTCTTTTGTCATCTCACTGATACCAGATTGTAGCCCAGTATTGTGGTTTTCTGTATTTTTCTTGCACTTATTGAGTGGCTTGTGTGATGGATATGTTCATTTTTTTTGCAGGTTTCAGTTAAACCATTTATCAATCTCTCTTTTGGTCATCCTCTCACCTTCCTCCCAGATGTTCTGCTGTAAAAAGTCTCAAATGCAGTTTGGCCTGGCTGCATTCTCACTAAATGGCCAAACCTTTTCATTCTTTGTCTGTCAGCTTAATCCAGACATGTATCAGTTTAATCCAGACATGTATCAGTTTAATCCAGACATGTATCAGTTTAATCCAGACATGTATCAGTTTAATCCAGACATGTATCAGTTTAATCCAGACATGTATCAGTTTAATCCAGACATGTATCAGTTTAATCCAGACATGTATCAGTTTAATCCAGACATGAATCAGTTTAATCCAGACATGTATCAGTTTAATCCAGACATGTATCAGTTTAATCCAGACATGTATCAGTTTAATCCAGACATGTATCAGTTTAATCCAGACATGTATCAGAATAATCCAGACATGTATCAGCTTAATCCAGACATGTATCAGTTTAATCCAGACATGTATCAGTTTAATCCAGACATGTATCAGTTTAATCCAGACATGTATCAGCTTAATCCAGACATGTATCAGCTTAATCCAGACATGATCTTATTCCAACTTTCTCTCTAATGCTAGTATTCGTAACCCTGTCTCTTCTTGTGTAGTTAGTGACCCCTTGCGGAGACAACGCATTTCACATGTACCTATTTTCGGATCTGCTGCCCTATTCATCATTTTCTTTAAATAAGATAATATTTCCTGTTTTATTTTATATTCACATGAAGGAAATATCATATTTAATAAGGTAACATTTCACATTTTATTACATCTTCCTCTCATGTCAATTAAAGAAGATAACAGTTTCTATTTTATTTATTCTTCATGGTGAATGCAATCTCCTTCTGCTTTAAGGAAATCTTCTTCTTCCGTGTTCACCGGCTGTAAGCTCCAGCGGAAGGTCCTGGCTGTTCGTCCATTTGGACTTTCGCTTTGTGCCAGGGCCTGATTTGGTTTTTGTGTGCACATGTGTTTTATTGGCTTATTTGTATGCAGCTGGTTGTTCCTTGCCGCTCTGGCAGATAAACTCCGACTTGGAAGGAAGTCCTCACTGACACGACTTCTACAGCTTGCTTGCTGGAAAGGCAGTGGGTCTATTTCCAACTATGGATCCCAGGAACCTACTCCGAGAGCTTTTAGGAAATAATATTTAATATTTTGTGAAATAAGATCTCATAATGTTTTAAAGGATAAAACATTGAATGTTTTGTCTGCATGGGCACAGAAAAAAAACAGTGTTATTTTTCTTTATGCTGTCTTCTTGATTACAGGAGATTAAAGACCAAATGAAGATGGTACATGAGGAGATACTTTTTCCAAGTGAGAATTTATTGTTGTTTTTGTTTGTTTGTTTGTTTGTTTGTTTTCGTCCTCATATATCTATTTTTTAAATTTTTTACATCATCATCTTCATCATCACCATCAAATCTTCTACACCTGATGGTTATTCTAGATCGCCTGTAACAGCTTGAAAGACACATCAGTAAGCTTTGACTTTGCTGTCATTCTGTTTGCTGTTTCTCCTCGTAGTAGTACTGTAACTGCTATTGCTTCTGCTGATTTTGTTTTTATTACTACGGATACCATTGCCACTAATTCATCTGTTGCTACTACTGCTGCTAACTGGTGTACTGCTATCTTTACTGTTCACTTAGTTAATCTCCATGAAAGGCGAATAAATGGGGACACAGAGGGTCAGCAGGTATGTAGGTAGGTAGATAGCCAGTAGCAGTTAGACAAACATCGAGTTGAATTGACTCAAGAATTGACATCACAGCACTCCGTCCCCATCTTCAGCAGCCAGCATAGATTTTCTGTACTAATTGTACCAGTGGTAGTCTGATTCTATGTTGGTGCAGCCTTTCCTCTGAGTGTAGTGAGCCGGCCAGACCCTCTGGTCACACCCAGATGCCTCATTCTCTCCAGGTCATAATAATCTAGTTTCTCTTCAGACTTTGTTACTTGTTCCCAAAGTTTGACAAAAATAAGCCAGAAAAGACTTTGAACTAAATCTCCCGACTGATGTGGTCCTATTTTCCTGAACAGAGAGTTCCTGTCAGAAATAAGTTTTTATTTTCATTTTTTTTTGTATATTTTTTTCTTCAATTAAAGACAATTAAAATATTTTGGCCACATTAAAAGACATAACACTCTTTAAAAAAATATACTGGAGGGTAAGGTCGAGAGCATGAGAAAGACAGACAACGATACAAGTGGGAAGACAGCATCAAGAGATGGAGAAACAGCAGTCTGAGTGTGTGTAAAGCCAAGACAAGGACAGAGCGTGTTGGAGATTCACTGCAGCCAATCTTCGCTGTGGAGACAGCACCTGAGTGAGTGATGGAAATTCCCTGCCCACACTGTCCAGGCTGGCCATATCAGCTGTCCGTGCACCCACAAGTCTAGTACCAGCAGTGAAAAGATTGGTCATGTAACAATGCTACATTATGATTCTCCTTTGACGCTTGCACGTTGTTGCTTGCACTGCTTCTACTGTCTAAGATTAACAACACAAAATGGCTGTCAGTTTCCTTTATACATTCGGTTAGTTTTATTCCATCTGATTCTTCCACAATACTCCGACAGTTATTGGTTTTTTATCAGATCTTACCCCAGATGACGTCACAAGACAGTCCAACATTTTAGAGGGTGGTAAGACTGGGTTTCCCGGTTTTCTGAGGCTTTTAACGACCCCAAAACATCTAGAACCGACTCTAACCCCAACCCACCTAAGTTCCACGAGAGAGTGCAACCAAGGTCCCACGACTGCATGCAGCCTAGGTCCCTCAACTGCATGCAGCCTGTCTACCACCCCCTGAAATATTAGACTGTCCCCTGACCTGTGGATTTCTCCTATTTGGGGTAGGATATTATTAAAGCACCCAGTTATTCAGATAGTCATCACTGTTCGCTTATATCATCGGTTAAAAAAAATATCATTTTGATAGATATTTTCTCATTGTCCACCAGTTTTTAAATAAACATATTTTATTTTGAGCCATGTTAGCATAACAGCTAGATGCTCGCTGGCCGGCTCAAAAGTTAAGGGTTCAAATCTACATTAAGATGAAAGTTTTATTAAACATTGATCCATCCTAAAATGGGTACCAGTATAGTTCATGGAAATAAAGACTTTCTGGTAAAGACTGCGATGAAGTGGGCAGTGCAACAGAACAGGGTACTAGTCAAGTTCATGGAAATGAAGGCTTTCTGCTGAAGTCTCTGCGATGAAGTGGGCAGTGCAACAGAACAGGGTAGCAGTCAAGCAAATGGAAATGAAGGCTTTCTGGTGAAGACTCTGGGATGAAGTCAAGTTCATGGAAATGAAGGCTTGCTGGTGAAGACTGCAATGAAATGGGCAGTGCAACAGAACAGGGTACCAGTCAAGTTCATGGAAATGAAGACTTTCTGGTGAAGATCGATGAAGTGGGCAGTGCAGTAGAACAGACAGAGAACTCATACATTGAACAACTAATTCAGCGGGGGGGGGGGGGGGGGGGGGGGGGTTAAGTAGAGGGTCTAGAAGATATTCTACTCTGAAGAAGAAACATAGGCTGACTTTTATAATCAGTTTCCAGCAGGTGCTGTTAGCATGTTGACTCTTCATTGGCTACTGACGAATGAGACGGATAACGTTTAGGAATGTCCCAAGTACAGTCATGTCAGTTCTTCATTTATTCATTCATGGAAAGTGAAGGTAATCCTCGTGATGTTGACTACATCATACCTCGGGTGCTGATTGATTTAGAAGTTTAGCACCATATGCCTACCAACCCAAGTGTATGAAATAGGTCCTTTATATATTTTTCTTTATTTCTTCTCTTTGGCAGCTCCAAGTATGAAAGTTGGAGGCAGCGTCATTAGTTTATCTGTGGTTTCAGAGGAAAGTGTTTTGACCCCAGTAATGTAAAATAATTTTAAAAAATTAATATAAAACCTCACTTTGGAGGTCTG